GGGGCACACAGTGCATGGCATTGCTGTGGGCACTGTGGCAGGTGGGGCACACAGGCCCCAGGGGCGCATGGCCTAGCCCCTCCCTGTGACTGCCCAGCTTGCAGCCCCTACTGGCTCAGGCCTGGGAGTTCAGGTGGGAACTGGCCCTCCGTTTCCACTCTTGCCCTCTCCATCTCCTTTTCCCCCATCACTCCCAACCACTCATGGCAACTTGTGAGTCAGGTCACCCTGAGAGAGAAGAACAGGCTGTCCTGCAAGATGGAGTCAGGGTGGGGGCCCCAGTGGACTGGCCCAGTCGGGGACTCACGCCTTCCTACCCCACAGGATAGAGGTGGCCAATGGGCTGACCTTGTGCAAAAAGGGCTGTGAGGCCATTGTGGACACGGGCACCTCCCTTTTGGTGGGCCCTGTGGATGAGGTGAAGGAGCTACAGAAGGCCATCGGGGCTGTGCCGCTGATCCAGGGCGAGGTGAGCTGCGGGGTGGATGGCCTTGGGCAGGCAGGGGGCTGGGCCTGGGCCTGCGCCTGATACCTCCCCGCCCCCCAGTATATCATCCCCTGTGAGAAGGTGGCCAGTCTGCCCAAGGTCTCGCTGCGGCTGGGAGGCAAAGACTACACCCTGTCCCCGGAGAGCTACACACTCAAGGTGAGCAGGTGGCCGGGGGCCCTGGCCTGGCACTGGGAGGGGCCCAGTGACCACCATGCTGACCCTGTGGCCTTGCAGGTGTCACAGGGTGGGAAGACCATCTGCCTGAGCGGCTTCATGGGCATGGACATCCCCCCACCTAGCGGGCCACTCTGGATCCTTGGTGACGTCTTCATCGGCCCCTACTATACCGTCTTCGACCGGGACAACAACAGGGTGGGCTTTGCCGAAGCCACCAAGCTCTAGCTCAGCCCCTGTGCGCCAGCAGAGCGATGGACCAGAGTCCAGTAGGAGGAGGCCGGCCAGTCCCCAGCACCCTGGCCTCTCCCCACTCACACACGCACACTCAGCACCGTGGCCCGCCTGCGCCATCTCACTCTCGCCCTGTGGTTCCCTCCTGGGTTCAGAAACACTGCCTCTCTCCGCGGGGGGCGCGTGCCAGGCCCGGCCATGGATCCGTCTCGCTCACTTGGAGCACCCAACCTGGGCTTGGTGGCTGCCAGGTGTGTGTGTCCTGGGAGCCTCCCCCAGCTCTGGCAGCACCTGCAAGTCTGAGTCCCCTCCCTGGGGCAGGCTGTCCTCCAGGGTCCTCCTCCAGAAAGCTGCCCCGCAGGAGGCCCCTCTGCCCAGCCTGGGGTCCCGCCAGCTCTGCTGCTCCTCACCCCTGAGTGTCCTGGCTGCAGAGGCCTGAAGACAAGAGGAGGAACAGGAAGACCAAAGCCATCCTTGGGGGCCTGTGGGGCACCCTGGGGTCTGTCACCACCTGGGGCAAGGGCCAGGGTGTCTGGGGCCATGCTGGCCTTCCTTTGGTGACCTCTGCTGCCCTTCTCCTGGTCAGCCGAGAGCCACAGTTGACATGAAAATATAGTTGTTGGGCCTGTTCCTGTGTCCGCGTGATTTGTGCTCCCCAGAAGCTGATCTCCGGCAGGGCGGGGGAGTGGGGGCTGGTGAGACACCTGGCAGACTGAGGGCTGGGGGGCAGGGGAGGGAGGGTGAGCCCGGGAGCCCAGGCCTGGCTTTTGGAGCCAGGTCACACAGCCTAGAGGACCCCTGAGGCTGTAGCTTGCTGGCTGGCCTTGTGGCCAAGATGTGGCTGGCAAGAGCTGGCTTGTTCTGAGGCCTGGAACAGTGGCCGGCGGATGTGGCCTTGGCCGGAGGCTGCGGGCGGGCCGGCGCGGCGTTTCCGGTGTGAGCACCGACTCAGAAGCAGGGTTCTCAGTGAAGTGGTCCGAGCACGTACTCTCTAGGCTTCCAGAGACAGAACACTGTTGGGGGCGCCGGGGGACCCTCTGACCCTCTTGGCACTCCCTGGTCCTGGGGAGGACAAGGTATCTGCATGGCTCTGGTGTGGGCACCCTGCCTCCCTTCTGGGCCTCCTTGCCAGCCCCTGGAAGCAGCCCTGGGCTCGTGCAAGCCAAGCCTGTGCCGGGGCAGGCCTGCCTAGGGTCACTGCCCAGGAGGGATCCTGGTGGGAGCCCTCCCGGGCGACAGTTTCTGCAGACACTGCTATGCAGGCAGGCACCTGGGGTGGCCTTGTGGGTTGGAGGGGAGAGGTCAGGAGCACGTGGCCAGATGCAGCAGGGGCCTCAGGCTCAGTAGGAGTGTGTGGCTCTGGGTGGTGGGACCAGGAGACTCTGAGGCTCTGGAGTCTTGCTTGAAGCCCCCACCCCCACCCTAGCAGGTGCAGGACACAGGGTGAGTGTGATATCATCCTCCCTGGGTCTTCTCAGCCTGCTGGACAGTGCCTATCCAAGGGGACCCAGGGACGATGCCCTAGAGCTGAGCCCCAAGGGCCACCTTCTCTGGAGAACATTTGTCCCCAGGTGCCAGGAAGCTGGTAGACATGTGCCCGCTGTTCTCTGCTCCTGAAATACGAGAGGGAGCTGGCAGGGTTTCTGGGGAGACCAGTGTCATCCAACACTGCATGGAGAGGCCGGAAGGAGGCAGCTCCTCCCTCCCCTGCAGGCCTGCGCTGCGCCTTCCAGGCGCCATCTCCTGCCTGCGCTGCCAGGGCCTGCCCTCTGTGGGAGCTGCCCTGGGTGTTGCCCCGGGAGCGCTCTGTCCGGCTCCTGGATTCTTGGGACCCTGGAGTCTGACTCTGGGTTCAGATCCAGCCTCTGTGCCCTTTTAGCTGTGTGATCCACCCTGACTATCCAGGCTCTAGGATGTGGGCAATAACAGGATCCACCTGACTGCCGGCCATGGGGGCCCAGCACAGTGGCTGGACACTGGCCCTAGTCTGGACCACTGAATTTCCTGGCCTACGCCCGTGGCCTGGAGCACACTGTGGCAGGAGCCTACCGGGGCCAACCCCTTCACTCACCATCCCAGAATGGAGGCTGTGGGGGCTCCCGAGGCCTCAGACCCGCTGCCCGACACAGTTCAGGGAGGGGCCCTGACTCTGGCCTCACCCAACTCTGTGACCTTCAGCAGGTCCAACCCCAGGGCCCAGGCACCCTCCTGCTGCTTCCTTCCTGGCCACCCTGAAGCCTCTGGCCCAGGGTAGCAGTAGACAGATGTTATGTGGCAGGGAGAGCATCAGGCTGGCGCCTGGCCCCCAGGCTCAGCTCTGACCTAAGGAGCTGAGTGGCATGGCACAGAGCTACATGCAGCCCGGGAAGGGTACAGGCCCAGTCTAGATGCCAGGTCTGGGCCCGTGGGAAAGTGGGGAGGTGGTGGAGTTAGGTGAACCAGACTGGCCCACAGGGCCTGTAGGGCCTGTGGACTGAGGCTGGGCTCCATGAAAGGAGTGGCCAGGACGTCCCAGAGGGCTCCTTGTGCTGGGAATTCCTCCCACTCACAGGGGATTTTATCAACATCATTTAAGATCTACTTTGTGCTGTGGGTTCCTGACATGCCAGGGCTGAGGCTGAGCCAGGGGTCAGCCTGGGGGTGGGGGTGGGGCCTAGGCTGGGGAGGGGAGGGGCTTGAGGGGGCGGGGCTTGCTAGGGGACAGGAGTTTGGAAACAAGCTCAGGGCTCAGACAGCACCGAGGGTAGTGAGAGAAGAAGGGGGTTCCCATAGCACCAGGGGCTTAGGTCAGAGCCAGGAGCATTCAGGAAGGGAAGGTGGTAGGGAGTCTGGAGGCACATTGAGAGGGTCAGAGGAGAAGGGGCTTTGCTGGAGGCAGGATGGGGACTCAGACAGCAGGGTGCAGGCTCAGAAAGAGCAGGGAGAACAGGCTTCCCGGGGCACTGAGCAGGGTCTAAGGCTCGGCTGCAGAGGACCAGCTCAGAGGGGGCATCTGCACATCCCAGGGTGGGATGACCAGGGATCTCTCCAGGGAAAAGGAAGCTTATCAGGACCTTTCAGGAGTCGGGAGATCAGTTGGGAACGAGTGTCCAAGAGAACAAGAAGGTGGGGGAACTCTGCGGGCAGCCGAGGTGGAGGACAGGCACTGGTTGATGGACATGTTGTGGGGGTCAGTGCACCTCAAGGGACAAGGGCCCAGGTAGGATGGGTTCACAGGGAGGCCACAGGCCAGGGCATGGGCAGGACTCCAGGGACACAAGTGTCCAGCCTCAGAGAGGGGCGAGGGGCCAGGGCCTGGGAGCAGAACACTTGGCCTTGCAGGCAGAGGAAAGGTGGGTGAAGGGCCTTTGTGCAGGGACAGGCTGGCCACAGGGTCCAAGACCAAGGCTGTGAGTGAGCTGGATCAGTGAGGACGTCAAACTTGGGAAAAGGGGCAGGCCCTCCAGAGGAACTGGTCTGGAGGGGCAGCAGGGGTGCTGACGGTGGCTAAGGGCCTGAACTTGATGTGCTTAGGACAGAGGGATGGGAAGTGGCCTTAAGGGCTGGGGACTGTAGAGACAGGACCATGCAAAGACGGGTGACCTGGAGGGGGTTTGGTGAGGTGCAGCCTATTCAGGGACTGCGCTGCTGAGTTTGGAGCCAGAGACTCCAGAGGCACAGTGGGCAGGTACCGAGGGGCACAGAGGGGCTGGGCTAGGGATGGTCCTGGGCAGAGTGAGGGGAAGAGAGTCAGAGGGTCTCATGGACCCGTGGGTGGGAGCTTGGTAAGGCTCCGAAGCCACCCGGCTCAGGGACCTCAGGGGAAGGGCTCAAGTACTCTGCCACGGGGCCAGCGGAGGCGGCGGGCGGACTCAGCAGGCCCAGAAGAGGCAAAGCCCCCGCGTAAGGGTCTCTGAGAAAGAAGGCAACAGGTCCTGGACAGCTGGAACGCGAGGGGAGAGCAGGAGTAGGGGGCTCAGGCAGGTGCGCTGGGCTCCGGAGACGGCTCCCACGGGGGCTGGGGCTCCGTGCGAGGGGGCGGGATGCGCCGGGGCAGGTCCAGGGACATGCAAGTGGAGCGGCACAGGGGTAGCAGGGTCCCATCTCTGTCCCGAGGGGTCGAGGCTTCCGGCCAGCCCGCGGCCCC